GTCGAGGACGCCGATCTGTCCGGAAAGGAGAACCCCGTTGGGAAGGAAGGCAGGACGAAACGGGGAGGGGCCAAGGACCCCGCAACACACCCCGCCCCTAGCCTGTACCACGACCCTCGATCCCAAACAAGCCACAAGCTCCGCACGAAGCCGAGGTCGAGGCTGGGATGGAAAGGAGGTCTGGACAAAGCTGAGACGGGAAGGAGCGAGGGTATGCAGGCCGAGGACAGCCGCCACCACTTGACATCCCGCCCTTGACCGTCCCGCAGGGCTGTCCGTGCCCGGACGTGGCGCCCAAGGCTTCTGCCGAGGGCACGCCCGCGTGAGCATCATTGGATTCCTCACGACCTCAGCACCTTCCGTTTCGGAGAGTGGTGGGGTCCGTGGTCGTGGCTTCCCTCGCTTCCCACTTCGAGACCGTCGATAGCCTAAAGTGGAAGGGAATTGGAGAGCATTCCGAGCGGGCCTGTGGGGGCCGCAGCCCAGAGTGGTGCGTTTCGCTCCGCCCTGTTGTTGCCCTCCAGCACCCGTTTGTGGGTTGTGGTCTTCGTTTCCCTGAAAACGGCACGTAAGGTCGTCCCTCCGGTTTGTGTGGTCGCCGCCTTCCATTCGATACCATCAGCTTGAGGTGGGCTTGCGGTTGGGGGTGCCGGCCTCGAGCTGTGGAGGTACGTCGGGCCTTGCCTTTTGATCTCAGGTCGGGCGGGAGCACCCGCCCAATTTAAGGATATAACTAAGCGGAGGAAGAGAAACGAACGAGGATTCCCTTGGTAGCGGCGAGCGAACCGGGAATAGCCCACACTGAAAATCTGGGGGCTGTGTTGCTCCCTGAATTGTAGTCTTGAGAGGCAACCTCTGCAGCAGGCCGTGTGCAGGTTCCTTGGAAGGGGACACCGAAGAGGGTGACAGCCCCGTCGACCGCCGGACCCTGCTGCGCAACGAGGTGTTGTCCAAGAGTCGGGTTGCTTGGGAATGCTGCCCCAATTGGGTGGTAAGTCCCATCCAAGGCTAAATATGTGCGAGGGACCGATAGCGAAGAAGTACCGTAAGGGAAGGATGGAAAGAACTTTGAAATGAGAGTTAAAGAGTGCTTGAAATTGCCGAGCGAGAAGCAGATGGAGGGGAAGTCGTGCGCTCCCGTCTGGGCAGGGGTGGACGGCGACTGTGTTGTCTCCCCCCTTGTTGGATGTGGGGTGCCTGCCAGCATGGGCTGCTGTGACCAGGATTGCAGTGGGGAGCGATTGAAACCCCCCACGGGTGGCCGCCACGGCAGTCGAGGACCTTGAGCACGCGCTTCTTTCGGCGGGCCCGTTCGGGTTCCTGCGTGTTCGGGATGCTGGCGAAATTCCTCTATCCCTCCCGTCTTGAAACACGGACCRAGGAGTTCAACGTGCATGCGAGCCGGTGGGTGATTAGCCCACGAGGCGGAAGAAACCTGAGTGGCGGGAACCCTCTGCGGGTGCACCGTCCGCCAATCACGATCTGCTGTGAGAGGTTTGAGTGTGAGCATACCCTTTGTGACCCGAAAGATGGTGAACTATGCGTGAGCAGGGCGATACCAGAGGAAACTCTGGTGGAGGCTCGCAGCGATACTGACGTGCAAATCGTTCGTCGGACTTGGGTATAGGGGCGAAAGACTAATCGAACCGTCTAGTAGCTGGTTCCCTCCGAAGTTTCCCTCAGGATAGCT